AGTTCCAAGCTCCATTTTAAGCTCCAAACGTGCATCCAACTGCTCCCAAAGCACTGCTTCACTCGAACTATCTGAAATTGACATAAAAACATGAGCAGTACGAGAATTCTATCGAAAGACATGAGCTGAACATTATTTTAATAAATGACATGCAAATGTACAAAATATGATCCTAAATGCTAATGAAAACTAACCTATAAGATGCATAAAATGGCATCTAACCAATCTTCCCAAGCTTAAACCTTACTTGCCCTCAAGTAAGAAAAAGATAAAGCATTGTAAACAAATGGAAAGATGTAGATAATCTAAAAAGAAACTTAGAATAAAAACTAAAACAAGATTAAGGAAACTAAAAATTTAAACTTTATTAAAACACTTCACTCTTTTTTTTTGTCACACGATCAGATTTCACAACGAGAAAGCTCCAATGAAATCACTACCTAGACAACAGTCTCAATACTTTATATTAACGATTCATAATTATATTTAATGAGTTAAACCAAGCTTGAGCAAATAATTTTTACGCCAAATTAAATTTGTGAAAACAGTTTATTTTTAAAAATCATTTCACGAAAATTCGTTTATAAAAACTTAGCTTGACCAACCCCTCCTTTTTTTCCGAACTCGTCCAGTAAACGCGGTAACCTCCACTATGGACATAAAATCCAAGCTTACCCCTATGATTCCACTATCGAAGGATCAATCTCATTATACCACACGTCTTCTTTGTCTTGATCAACTATTCAGATTTAACTTGCTTGCTTCTTGATTTCGACTTGAACTTGACTTGGATTTGACTTTGAATTGCAGATTTCTTCAAGTTGCTTAATGTACCATTTCTAACATATATATATATATATATATATATATATATATATATATATATATATATATATATATATATATATATATAGACTAGGCGCGAATTTTACTTTGAGGCCCTCCATATCTTCAATACTTCAAAAATGATAACTATTATGGGTATAACGAGAGTTCCCTCCTAACCTCAAAAGGTGCAGAAACTATAGGGTTCAATACTTCAATGAATGATAAGGGTTATCCAATCTAGGTTCTTTTTAAGGAATTCAAGGAAATTATTTCTAAAACAATGTTCGTTTTCCATCCCACACTTCCATTGTAAAAATTATCTAACTCATATGTTGGTTTATATTGAAAACATTTAAAGCACTATATGATACTAATTATAATTGATTGTAATGAGACGGTTATTTTTGGTAACTATCACATTTCATCTTAACAGAGCTATCGAATGTAAAAAGATATCATCATCTCATGTAATTTTTAAATTTCTTTATTATTATTTTTTTAATTTTGATATGCAAAAAATAAAAAATAACTAGAAATAAAAATCTTTTTCAGCTTTTTATTATGAATGCAGAAAAATAAAAACAGAAAATAAAATATTTTTGGATTTTTCAGATTTTTTAATATGCAAATGCAATAGAATAAAATGCAAAAATAAAAATAAAACTTGAAAATTTTAAATGAAAAACTGAAAAATTAAAATTTTAACAAAAAATGCAAATTTTTTACACTAATCCCCTCCCCAAGCTTAAAATGATGCATTGTCCTCAATGCTCAGAGAGGAATGAACAGCTCAATAAAGAAAATAAACAAAAATGTGCAGCTAGGAAAGAATGTACCTGATAAGTTTGCAGAAATCTGATTTTGATGATGAATGTTGACGAAAAATCTGGATTTCAGTAACTCCATCGATCCTCTGATTTCCCCAAGCTTTCTTGGGACTGTGACCATCTCTTTATTGAAAGCAAAAAAACTAAAAACTACTCATTGGGTTGCCTCCCAGAAAGCCGGCCTTTTTTAAGGTCGTTGGCTCGACCATTCCTGAAGACTAGATTACTTGTACGTAAAGATTTTGGCACAAAACAATTAGCAGTACCGTGTCCCCGTCAACGGCGCCAATTTGTTAACACCCTGTCGCGCACGTATTAAACAAATAAATTTATCACTGCTTGGAATGCACTAAAAATATAGCACAAGGAAGCAGGGTCGAATCCTCAGGGACACAGCCTAATGGTCAATGCCTTTTTGCATCAGGCACATCTAGTCAAAACATAAATTATAAAAGGGGGTTTTTGATTAAACTAAAAACTAAGAATGCAGTAATATTAAATGAAATGAAAATCGATAATAAAAATAATTCCAGTTCTGCCGTGACTTTCCTAATCATGCAACTGATCCAGATCTGATTATTTGAGATGCGTTCTATCTAAGCTAGTACTGAGAAAAACTAACAAGCTCTAGTAATTTCTCTTTTACCTAAACTAGTTAATCAAAACAAGCTCTACACTTAACCCTAACTTTTTACTGTCTAATCAAACAAGCTCTTAATTAAGATCATAAAAGTAGCATTAAGTTCTTTGTAAAATTCCCAGCCATACCCAATACTTCTCACAAGCTCGGAAGCATAAAGATATGATTTTTACAGTTTATATCAGAGTTAAATCCCAAAACGGAATCAATCTGATACTTGTTACTTTTACCAGTTGAGAAGAACAATTACGGATTCTATTAACTGATTAACTGGAATGAGAAAACCCTAGCTAGGTGATCAGACTAACAAGAATTAAAATCAAACATTCATTAAGAACAAAACTGAAGAATCTAGATAGAAACACAAATCAAAAAACTGATCTAATGATCAATCACATGAAAAGTACTTGTCTTTGCAAAACTGAAAACTAAGGTTTTAGCCAGACATGGCCAAAATCTGATGAAAACAGATGAAAAGAGACATCAAACAACTAATCTTACTAATCTACTTGAGGGAGATGATCCACAGTCTTCAAATCTTCATAAATCGTTGAAATCGGAGAAGAAACGCCTCCAAAATCGTATTTTCGTCGTCTGGTACCTCTAGGATCGCCAACTTAGGTTACTGGAAGGTTATAAGGTCTATTTATACGTTCAGGAGCAAAAACGATGCGCATGCGATCGCATGTATCAAAGCTGCGATCGCAGGTTTTGAAGAAAACGCGTGTCGTGCCTTTTTAATGAAGTAGGATGCTATTTTGACACTTTTTGGCCAACCTGCGATCGCATGTACACAACCTGCGATCGCAGGTTTTCATTTTTTGCTTCCGGATGAATTTTTGGCACTAAAAAAACCTCGAATCCAAGCTGCGACCTAACCTGCGATCGCAAAAAGGCCCCATTCGATCGCATAAAGGCAACCTGCGATCGCATGTTGTGCCTAAGACGTCCGAAATTTCGTCTACTTTTCAGATGATTTTGAATCGCGTCAATCGGAGTTACGCTTCTCGAGATATGGTCAAAATACTGACAGGGGGTCAAAGCTGCCAGCAACATCCTTTAACTTTAGATTGCATATTCTCTCTTCGTGTGATCAATTCGATCGGATGTTTCTTGACCAAAGCATCTTCCAATCATTCCGCAACATACTCCATAAGTTCCAAGCTCCATTTTAAGCTCCAAACGCGCATCCAACTGCTCCCAAAGCACTGCTTCATTCGAACTATCTGAAATTGACATAAAAACATGAGCAGTACGAGAATTCTATCGAAAGACATGAGCTGAACATTATTTAAATAAATGACATGCAAATGTACAAAATATGATCCTAAATGCTAATGAAAACTAACCTATAAGATGCATAAAATGGCATCTAACAATATGGGACAACATTTAAAGTCAACGGACATCGACTAAAGCATTATGATGAAGGGATGCCAAAGGAAGATGGGAAGGAGAGGACGTGGTCTTGGAAGAAACCGCTGCAACTTAGAGCGGGAATAAGTCCAGCTCAAGATTCCTAAAAAAGAAGTGTTTACGGGAGGCAACCCATAGTTTGCATTTTCTTTTAATTTTACTTTTGTGCTTTGTTTTATTTTCTCCATTTTTAGTTTGTTTTTCCAAGGATTTTCACTCTTTAGTCGTTGTCATTGATTGTTTCTGTGAGGGGAAGTAATGAACAAGTGTGGGGTGTGGTGAATTTTTGTTTGAAAATTAATTTTTTTTTCTAAATTATAGTAGCCACGGCATGGACGAGTTGTTCTCACGGCGTGGTCAACAAAAAGATCCCGTAATGCGCAGAATATTAAAACGCCACGACATGGCCTTAATCGCCACGACGTGGGGGCGGTTTTTACGCAGTGAAAAGTGTTAAACCCTAATCATACTTCTTTTTCATCTTTTACACTACACAAACGCACCCCACGCCGTCAAGACTCCCTCACGACGATTTTTTCATTTTTCTCCAAATATCTTCAAAGTTTCTTCGAGTTTAGTTTGATTCATCCAAAAAGGTTAGTGATTTCTTACTCTAAACTTCTTATTACTGCATATAACCTGTTATGGATGCTTTGATTTGAATATTTATACCAATTTCAAAGATTAGAAAAATCAAGGGTTTTATAGTTCGGTTGAAAATTGCCTGATTTTCATGATATTTGTGGAATAATTTATGTTTATTAAACTCAAAATAAGGCCTGAATAAGATCCTTTTTGTTGGAATTGAATTACAACAATATATTATGCCTGAATTGGTCTGACTGTTCTTGTTGTTCACACGCTACAACGTGACCTCGCTAGGCCACAACGTGGGTAATGGGCAAGGAGAAAAGTAAAATTTATTTCTTATTTTTCTTATTCAGGATTGGTTGTGGTTGTGTTTTTCTGCCTTATTTTGCAAGAATGGGACCCCGAAGACAAACTGGTTTACAAAGGGATTTCCTGTGGTATAACTTTCTGGAAATCGTGGGGCCTAGTGTGTATTTGGAATGGAAAAATAAGTTGGCTTCGCTACGTATGAAAGACATTGATATTCCATCCATTATGGACTAGAATTGGATTCAAGGTGCAGAGCTCTTGTAACAAGTCGATCCATATTTAACAAAGTTGTTTGTGCAAGACGGAGTGCGACTTACTTGCATGGCATGAAGAAGGTTGTTTAGGATACAAGAGTCGGTGTATATGGAAATTTGCGTGGAATTTTCTCTATGGTTAGTTTCAGAAAACTGGATGACGTCAATGATCCCAAGAACTTTACTTTTTGTCTTGGGTCACAAAGAAGGGAGATTAGTCTTGTCGAGCTCGTATGGCGGTTGGATCTGTACGACCGATCTGACGCGACATCTCCTGAGTTCGTCGTCTTCTTGGAGCATTGCAACAAACGGTTACCGGAAGAAGTCACTGAGACTGGGTATTGGGTTAAAATTGCTAGTGGGTCTTACACAGTAGGAACTGCAAGTTAAGGGAAAATCAGAAAGGCTAAAGATCGATTCATGCATCGGCTGATCACATTTTCCATCAACCAAAAGAAGGAAGGGGACTGGATTCCTCAACTGGATGTGTTTTTTCTATGGTGTATCATTACACTTAATGTATTATGTCACCTCCCTTACTATGTAGCGGACTTTTTGAGTGAGCGGACGGGAAAGAACAGGGCTTGATGGGTTTTACATGCAATAACACGGATAAATCCTTATACACTTAAGGATACATGCAACCTATTAGATCCGGTCATAACACTATTAAAGTCATATTCTATTGAGCAACAAGAACCCTATAACCCTAGCCAAATTCGAAAATCATAAACAAGTTAGGGATTACAAACCTTTTGATTGTTGTAGTAAACAATCATACAATCCTTCTTGATAAAATCTTGGAAGCTAGCACCAGAAATCTCGTGCCTCTGATAGTTAGCAACTATGAAACTTGAAGAGAGAGGAGAATAGAGGGAAATTTTTTGGCTATGCTCAAAGGAAAAAGAGTGGCCGAAATTTAGAGTATTCAAGGCCCTATTTATAGCTGATAAGAAAACCCAAGATAACCATTACTTGATTAAAATAATAATATCTCAAATCATGTAATTATCTGGTTTCCTAATTATCTTCAAGAGATATTCTAAAACCCTAGAATCACCCCAAAACCGTCCACCTCTATGGGGAAGGTTCTGGAACCCTTTTGTTCAACTATTAAACAGTTACAGCTTAGGTCCTTGCACTATTAATTAATCCAATTAATCCCAAAATTATTTCTAATTAATTCTTATTTAAATAATACTATTTTCAATTAATATATTATTCTCATAATATATTAATAAATCATTTATTGCTATTTATAATAAATCAATAAATCATTCTCTCTCTCTCTCTCTATCTCTCTCTAAAAGTCATCCTATTCAATTACTTGGTTTAAGGGCAACCTAAAAGGACTTTGCTAATAGTTCAAGCATATACCAACTTAGTTATTGCCTTAGGCACCTAATCCAACAAGAATGGGGCCCCTCTTATGGTGGTATGTTGGTCACCAAACTGGCCAGATCTTTTGGGGTATTTGATGAGCCAGAGGTTGGGTTTCTTACGAGGATGGAGGGTTGTCCGTTGTAGCCCTTCTTATGTAAGACCGCTCGAATAGTGAATGATATGGGAAAAGACACCTATACGGTGTCGGTGGATGATGCGGTTGAGGTTCTTGTAGGTCATTGTAATGTGAGGTCGAGGGTATAGGAGCGGGATCCAAGAGACGCGCATGTGGGTGATGAGCTACCTATGGATCCATATCACATTATGGCTAGACAATATGATGATGATGTGGGCAAGGGGTATGAATTATGTGGGATATAGCTTGGAGGTTATTATGCATCATCTCGCGATCACGCCCTCGGCTGGAGAACCTCCTAATTATACCCATAAAACATCTAAGGAGGAGCGTAGGGCCGATCATAGAGGAGGTGTGGGCACTAGTGGAGCTGGAGATGGAGATGATGAGGAAGAAGAGTGATTATCCTTGATTTATGTTTATTTTCATTTGGTGTGATTTAGACTATGTTGATTTTTGTTTTCGGTGTGTTAGGATTTTCGTAATTTAGGATAATTGTAGCATTTGTTTTATGTTTTCCTATTTTTTACATGTTTTTATTCTTGTTTCTCAGAAGTCATGCTGGCATTAAGTTCAGCGGGTTGATAGGAGAGTGCGATTTTGTTTCCCAAGAAATGTGATGAGAGCTTAAGTAAGGGGTACGACGTGTGATCGAGAAGAGTTTTTAAGAGAATTTTCGAGTCCTATCGACATAATAATTGAAGAATTTGATACAACATCATAATAGAAGGATATATCATCCCTACATGGCCTTACCTCACCTGAAATCACATTGGACAGAAGCATTATTTTTGTGAATTTCCAGCAGTCACGACATGGCCATGCGAGACCACGACGTGGCCACGAAGATTTTTGCGATTCAGGCCTGACATTATTTGAAACCCACGACATGGGGAGTCTCTAATGCACTTATTGATTGTTCGTTTTACAACTATTTGGAGTCCGTTTTCATGATGCATTTAAAGATTAATCCTGCTGAAATCCAGAAGTACCGTTTTCCATCCATTATACTGGATGTCAACCGCACAACTTTCAATTTCGATCGCCACTTCTATCCCAGGGGAGCATGTTCTAATTTCTCTCTTTACTTTTAGGTTCTTTAATTGTGTTAAGCATGCATTGGGGACATTGCATGAATTAAGTGTGGCGTAAAGGGGTCGAATATAGGAATGCAAACATACTGAAAAAAATGCAAATGACTAGGATAAGTTTTTTTATAAAGATTTGAAATAATGGTCTAAAATTGAATATAAGATAAAAATTGTTGTTATATTGTTTTGTTGGGACCTAGGTTACTAGTGTTGTGTGGGATGATCTGATGCGAGCTTCAATGTTTATTTGAGCCAACATCTGCTCTAGTGTATTTGCCCTGTCCTAGTGAAATCAAGAGACAAAAACACAACCTTGCCAGGTTTGAGGGATGTAATAAGTTTTGCTTTGGGAAAACCTAGACATAATAAAAAACCTACCAGTGATTGATTTATCTCCTGGGTCCTCTCTTTCAAAATAAAGCGAGTCAATTTTCCAAGTTTATATGTTTACTTGCATTGTTGAGTCTAGTTATATATAAAAATAAGTAACAGTTCAGGAGTGAGACCAATCCATGGCCTTTGGATATTGATGAGTATTCCCCAAAGGGCATTTTGTATGTCTATCCACCTAATTATAAAAAGCTTGGATGGATGGAAAGAAATATTGTTTAAAGGGGTTTCATAGAAAGCCATGGGTCTCATTAGTGACCTAATGGATTCCGAGTACTCCAATGAATCTTTTTAGAAAGTCACGAACTATAGTATTAGTAAAGTTGCAACTAAGTTAAAGTTTAAGTTAATTATTCGCTATTGTGTGATAATTGAAAGTTGAAATATTGAGAAAAGATTAAAAAAAAAACTCCACAAAAATATAAAGTTGCAACAATAAAAGTGTAGTTATATTTTTAGGATTATTATTTTTATACCCTTATTTTTCTTTTAAAATTGAGTCACTTGGAATTTGTCAATAACTTTTGAGATGAAAGGGGGTAAATAAAAAGGTATATATGGTAAGAATTCGAAAAATGAACGTTGTTCAAATTGAGTGGGAAGTGTTTATGAGGATTGTGAGTATTTAGGATTAGGTAAGTTCATTGGAATATTAGACAAAAATACATTCATTGTGGTCTTGATGTAATGGTTGAGCTCAAAATGGATTGTCTTGTGCGATGTTGGTGGCTAGGGATTTGATTTGATGGTATGATGATAATAAAAATCAATTTTGCTTGGGGGCAAGAAAAAGTCAAGTGTGAGGTATTTTGATATGTGCATATTTATTCATATATTTCATGCATTTTCTTAATAGTTTTAGCTACAATTGTGCTCATTATAGGACAAAAGGTACTTAATTTGTTTAAACTCTATTTTTTAGCAGCAAAGACATGCTCGGGACAAAAAGGAAGGAAGATGCAGAGCTGGAAGCGAGAAAATTGGATCAAGTCAACCAAAGTCAAAGAACTCAAAAACTCTGCAGCACGTGGCGTGGAGAGCCTTAGCCATGCCATGGTGAGAGGAATATTCACGATCGTCAGGCCGTGGAGGCTTTAGCCACGACGTGGGAAGCAAATTATGGAAACTATAAGTATATCATTTATTCCTTCAATCCTACCTTATGCTTCAAGTTACTTTCGACTTTTGGAGGACAGAGACATATTGGAAGACAGATGAGATCTGATTTCGATTGAAGTTAGTTTTGAAGAGATTTTAAAGAAATAACACTTCTAAACCTTTTGTTTACTTTGCTTTTCATTATGTTTTCCAAGGTGAACTTTGATTTTGATTATTTTTTTCCAGTAATTATGGGCTAAAAACCCGAACTTCTGTTTAGAGTTGAGGATCATTATGACTATGTGTTGATTGATTGGATCTTGGACTGTTGCTAGTTGCTTATTTGTTATGAAAGCTTGTTAAAGACCCTTTTATATTAATAATAACTACTTTTTCTCTTTATTTATGAGTTTTACTGAATTTAGATGATCATTTGGATTTTGTAGGCTTGTATCTTATGAATTTGTGATCATCAAAGTTATAAGACTAGTGTTTTGATCATAAACCTAGAGATAAATAGAAAAGTGGGTAAATTAATGTGGAAGCTAATATGTGATGATTATTCATGTATTGAATTGATGTTATTATCCATTAATGTCAATCATTAGTTCAAGTCTAGCGAACTTAACATTAGTATTCTTGTTTGTTTGTCCACCTGATCAACGAATGAATGAATTAGTTTGATTAAAGCATTAGTCTTTTGATCATAAATTCTAATCAACTTAGGAATTGGTAAGCAACAACAACTTAATCCATTTCACTTTCAAAGAAATTAACCATAGGAGTAATGTGAATCTTATCTAAACATAAGTCTCTTTAATATCTTGCTTTAAACGTTAATTTAGATTGTTTTTTGTTAGTTAACTCGTTTTTGGTGATAATTGTTTTTTAAGTAATATGGACTTGTAAAACCAGAGAAAACCCCTACTTAATTGCTTTTTAAATTAGTTAACTTTTAGTAGATAAATTAGCTCTTAATCATTATTGTTCCCCTTATGTTCGACACCCTACTTTCTTATTGTACTACTATTCGATGAGGTACACTGCCTATCGCATTTAGCTAGCTTAGATAGTTTGGTTTATAAATTAAAAACTAGTATATAAACTGCTTATCAGGATGTATGTCGTTCGACGATTGAAGACTTTAATGAATAAATAAAAGTAAATTATTCAAATACATACATACATATACATACATATATATATATATATATATATATATATATATATATATATATATATATATATATATATATATATATATATAGGGGTGTGTGTGTATGTGTGTATGT